TGGAAAACCACTAACAGGGCTGAAGCAGAGAGATGTGTTTGTTCTACCTTGGAGAGATAAATGCTTTCTCTTACTGTTTGAAATGGTGGGTGTGGGCCTGCTTCAGGGAAAAGAGAGCTAGATTCTTCTCAGAGGTACGCAACAAAAGGACCAGCATGGCTGCCACAGGTCACAGCATGGTAAATTCCCACTGGACCAAAAGAAACAGTGATGGGACAGGCTGCCTACAGACTGTAATCACCATCCTTACACTTGAAAACTCAACTGACCAAGGCCTGAACAATCCAATCTAATGCTGACGTCAGCACTGCTTTGAGCAGGACTCTTAGCCAGAGTCACTTAAGCTACAGAGCCTATTTTTCCTACTGTTCTAAGTAACAGTTTTAAATACATTATGCATTTACTTTAGAACTTTACTTGTTCTATTAAAGTATTTCTTGCATCCCGGACTTCTTGGAACAGGTTTGGATCATCAGCCTCCAGTAGCAGCTTTCGCTCAAAATTTTTTCCATCATCCAAATCAGATGTAGGTTTCCAAATTATTTTCTCTTTAGTCACAATATCAACCAGTCCTCTGAAGGTCTTGGCTTCCCCGAGGGGCAACTGCAAATAGAGTAGAAACTTTAGAAAACTGCAAAAAATTATGAAAGGAGTTCCATTTGAAAGAAAGCTTACCTGTAAGAGCAAAGGTTTTGCCTTCAACTTCTGTTTGATGCTCTCAACAGCATACGTAAAACTAGATAAAAAACCCCAGATACTAAGTTACACAAAACTTAATGACATTAGTAAAATACATCTATTATTCCTTATTTACTGCAAAAATTACTCCTACAATTACATAAAAATATGTATTTGCATTTGCATTGTATATAGTAAGTACTAACATAATTGGGTTGCTCTATGCTTAACAAGAAAACTTTAGTAAAGACATTCTCTTATAAGGTTTTTAGCAATAATTAAAATATCTGTCTAAATACCTTGCCCTGCTTTTGTCCATCTTGTTTAAAAAGCAAATTCGTGGTATCTGATGTTTGTCTGCTTGTCTCCAGACTGTCAGAGTCTGTGCCTAAAGCAAAAGACAAAATGGAAACATCAGTGCATAGTTCAGTACACAGCCTAACTATGTACTCCCCAATTCCACTGAGGCTCTGAGTTCAGGGTACAGAAGAGAACTGTGCTGAGTGTCCCCTGATGATTCCACATCTAGCAGCACAAATGAACCAAAGCCACTTTGGTTCTCAGCTGTAGACATTCCCCTTCCTTCACTAAGAACATGCAGGAATATGGGCAAGACAATATGGAGAGAAACTAAGTATTACAGGGGACTTTTTTGAAGTCTCCCTTTTTTTAAAAAGAAACCTTAGAATTTATTGCCAAAGTACTTAAGCACACACAGGCAAGTATTTCTGTGGCTACACATACAACACTAAAACTACTCTTGTTTTGCTAGTAATTTGTGCACTGCTGAGCCATTTATCATACATATTTTTATTTGAAAGTTCAAACAGGTACATATAAAAATCAGTTTGGATTCAGAAATAGTCCATTCCAGTACATGGAATAATGCAAGAATTTGCTACCGAGTTGTCAAAAAAAACACAAGCAGATCTAATTGTTCTGCTCTTGGGGGTGGGGGCTGTTTCTCAGTTCAGGTTCACATTTGATGGCACTTAAATGTTTTCCAACAACAAGTTAAGTAATGGGACTTACAGTGATCAAGAGTTCTCTCATCCCTTATCTAGGAAAAAGGTATGTCCCACGAAAGACAATGATTTCACAGATAACTTTTCTATAGGTTTGAACTACAGAAACACCTCATGCCATACAAAGTCTATTTCCACCCTGCCTTCACTTTTTCTGCAGTACAAAGGCCATGTTAAAAAGACCATTGGGCAAGGAGAAATTCTGGTTGAAAATTTCAATTTTCTACATGAAATCTGAAAATGAGAAATTGACAGACATTAATTTCTTTCCACTTGTGTAGCTAGCCAGAAGCATTCACATCAATCAATGTTTGTAAAAGACAGCCACAAACCAACAAAAACACCCCAAACGTTAATGGTAGTCCCACTTATTTGCTGGTTATTACCATGGAAATTTCTTTGCATTATAGAACTTGAAATTAAATGCTCAGCTTCTTGAAGGCAACAAAGATTCAAGAGATATAATACAGTGCAACATCTCTGTAGAGTATTTCAGTCTGATTGAAGTCATTAGATGCTGTGTGAAAATGACTGGGAGTAGCTGGGGGTAAAATTAGAGAAAACTGGGAAGTTATATTCACACTCTCAACAGAAGTTGTAACAGTGTGCAAATCATAGGGGGACATGCAGTTGCCACTCCCTGGATGGGATGTGGTCAGTATGCCTGACTTCCCATACACAGTACATGCTAAGGGAAACTAAACGGTGTGGAACAGAGCAGAGACACTGAGGCCAGGCTCTGTTGAAATCCTTGCACGAGGGGAACTTGGTGGTGGGATAAGATATCTTGCTGTTGAACAAGCAACCATGACAAGATCACATATGTATGCCTCCATCCTAAAAGTTACCTCAGATGTAATACTGACCTCCCAAGGTACAACCAACCCCCACTGTACATGAGGTATGACTAGAGTCACTCAACCTCCACCTGAACACAAAACCAGTAATAAACTAAATTAAAAATGGAGAGAAGTTAGGGAAGACTCCATTGTAACTGCTAAGATCAGTTTATGGGCTAAACCTGTCTTCCCCCCACAGAGATGCCTATTGGGTAAGAACCATACTCTTATGTGCACTGAATGATTATATGGAGTCAGCTTATGTTAGGGACTAAGCTTGTTAGTCTTTGAATACCTTTTTGCAGTCAGATACTATCACTGACAATCTTTGAACCTTACCCATCACAGTTTTCTGTTATATTAATAAAGAGTGTTATTCCATACACTGTTAAGTCCTGTTGCCAGCAGGTAACATACTGGCCTGTGGAAGTCCAGGATGCTGTAGGTTTGTGTCCCTGAATCTCTTCTGAGGCACTGACAGACCAAATAAGGATCCCCCCAAGGAGGGGGTCTTTCCACTTGGATGTCACCCTAAACCATTTAGTTGAACCACCCTCTGATCCAGTGGACTGTTCAGTAATGGGACATTGAGACTGGTCAGGCACAAGGGTCTTTATTTTCGTGGGGCACTGACAGACTAACCAGACAAAGAGGGTTTGGGAAAATCTCTCCCGTTTTATGTGACAGATGCATACACAAAAGACAAATCTACCAGCTGTTTTTACCTCAACACCAGCTGAAGCATCAAACACTGCTACTGCTCCATCCAGGACTCTTAAGCAACGCTCAACTTCCACTGTAAAGTCCACATGACCTAAAAAAAAAAATCTTCCTTTTATACCATCAAACAGGCAACATCAACAGGTCATTACAAATTTAAACTAATTTTTTTTTCAAATCATGTCAAAACAAGTCTTTCTTTACTTGCAGGGAAATACACCCATCAGTCTCGAAATACACAAGATTGTTACAATGCAATCCTAGAACTGAGAACAATTTACTGTGGAAATATCTAAGCTCACCTTACACAAGATAGATTAGGCATCAGCAAACAATAATTATCCAAAGCTGAACAGAGTTCAGTATAGGCTTTTTTATGGACGCAATTAAACCAATTAAATTTTGCACCATATTTAAAATTGAGACATTCTACAACACTCCACCTCACCCCCTCTCCCTTGGTAATAACAGTATTGCTAAAGAGGAGTACCTGGGGTGTCAATCAGATTGATTCGGTAATCCTTCCAGTCAAATGTAACCGCAGCAGATTGAATGGTAATGCCACGTTCTCGCTCTTGTACCATAAAATCTGTCACCGTGTCTCCATCATCAACATCTGTGAACAGGAAGCAGAATTTGGTAGGTAAATAATCCAAAATCTGAAACTGTCTTTGAATACAGTTGTCAAGAGAGAGTTGGAAACACTGTCTCTTTTATATATACGTATTATTATTATTTATATACAAAAATTAGCCTTTTTCAAAACAGTATAATGTCAGGTAATTTACCCAGGCTCCCCTTCCAAGGAACAAATGGTCTGCAAGTGAAAGACAGGTAATTCCAACAACCTTTTCATTGTTCTTAATCCTAGTAATGCCACGAGAATCTTAAAAACTAAAGCAAAGTCCAAAATCATGAACAAACTACAGCTTAAAAAAACCTGGCTGCACTGACTGTATGGAACATGATAGACATTTAAAAATTTGGTAATCAGAAGATAATTAAGTTAAAACCAAAGTAAAAAAAAAAAAACACATGAACAAACACCAAATAAGAGGTTGAGTTTTGCTTACGAATTTTAGTTTTAATCTTTAATAAAAGGAGAAGCAGTTCCACATTTTTAAACAAGGAAGACACCATGTTCAAATGCTCCACAAGTCTAATTTCTTCTATCACTGTCATACATAGTTGAGAACAGGGAATTAAATTTAAAAGGTCAAAAACACACAGGCTGCACTATGGCTTTCAAAAGAAATGGATACTTTTTCTTAACCTGGTTTCTTTACAGGTCAAAAAAAACCCTGAAGAAACAGCTTTACCAGAATGGCCAAATAAAATAAGGAGATCCTGTAACCAAATGTTGAATAAAACATAAATAAAACATAATGCACTAAAAGAAAAATACAAACCTATGATCTCTCAAAGTACAACTGCCTTAGAACATAATGGAATGTGCAATAAAATTCCATTAAACCACAGCACAACTTTGGAACAACTGGCTTCTACATCAGGTATTCCACCAGCAACCTCTAACTGCATTGCATGTTACTGTACATTATTAAATCTCTCAAAGCTACTCAAATACAAAAAGCATTTCTAACCTCCAAGTGTTCTTATATATCCAGAATAATAGAGCATTCTCTCTGTTGTCGTAGTTTTGCCTGCATCAATGTGGGCCATAATGCCAATGTTTCGGATTCTGCATAAAGCGAAAACATTGGGTTTAGTGGAATAACTTTTTTATTCTGTGACATTCTTATTTGCATAAACAATTAATACTCATTGAGAATAACATCTCAGATTAATAACATCTTTCCTATGCTGCATATCTGATACAGTGTACATTCCAAAACTGAAAGATGCTAGTATTGAGACAGTGGAAAATCAGTAGTACTGAACAGTTTTGCAACAGGTTTGCATATTCCACTTCAGGGAAGGCCACTTCTTGGGCTTATCCTCACCCATCTGCTCTCCCCTCCAACAGAAGCAGCCTTTACACCCTCTCATCCATCCCAGTCCCTGACACCTGGTTCCCAAAACAATCCATTGCATATATTCCCCTTGTGCTCTAAATACAACATCCATTGTTCCCAGGATGCTCTTTGAT